GAATATTTGAGATTCTCTGAAATTCTCTCCATGAGATTCAACTATCTCACAAATGTCCTCATCAATGACAGGCTGTAAGAAGCTGCCACAAGAAGCAGACGATAAAGGAGTGATTTCAGAACTTTATTAAGTTGTCAGGTTTGAAAAAAGAGGCCAGAAGACCAGAAAGAGGACTGCTTGTCCCCAATATGGGACTCATGGACCAAAGAATCTTCTGTGAGAGAATATCATATCTAACCAGGAACATAGATGTTGCATTTCTGATGCTATGTCCATGGGATGCATATAAGTAAGATATCAATTTAAGACTGTGATATGACCTGCAATGAATGTAGATATTGTCCTAAATTAATCAGATGTGCTGGAGTACTTCTGGGTCTCAGATTAAAAGACTAGGGACAAGTGTGGACTGTGTTAAACAAAAATTAAGTTTATTATGAATTCTATAAATTTATGTAACATTGTAATATAAATATACATGTTAAACACACCCTGTCAATGAGGTCTTAAACATTATTAACTATAGTGGAAAATTTGGAGCAGCTCACTTCCTCAAACCTTTCACTGAATGACTTTAAAGTGTTCAAAATTCCAAACCTCAGATGAAACTTCATACTCAAGGTGAGAGTTTATTTAATATATTTTTCAGTCAGTGCTCTAGGCACGACTGGGTCTCCCTGTTTCTCACAGTGACATGTGAAGGAAAAACCTCTGCAGTGGAAGCAATTGTTAGATAAAATAGAACCATTCATTCATCCTTCAGAAATTCTTAACCACTTGGAGTGAAAATGATGGTGCTGTTTTTATTTTGTGTGGAAATCACATTATAAGTTGACTGGGAGGGGGAAATGAGATTGAAGATATGCACAGAGTATAGCACCAATCAAACATATGTTGACATGATATGTAAAATTTGCTACTAGAGGCAAGATCTAATCTCATGAGATGGAAAATGTAATCCAGCTACTAGTAGTCAAGCTTGGAAAGAAGGGAAAGAAATTATTTATTAATTCATTATTAATCTCAGGAATCCAAACTGTAACCTAGAATTCTAAATACAACATTGGAGCTGGCTCTCAATAAGATAATGAAATGCTTTGCAAGTAAATCTGAAAACCAGGATGGATGCTGTACATAAACCTTGAACATCTCACCAGATTGAAGGATTCTCATACCTGCTAGTCTGTATACAGAATGCTATCTGCAGAGATCTGTGGGGGAGGGGAGGCTCTGCCCCTGTGTGAGTGTTCAGGTATATATGAGAGGGGAGTTTGATCAAGGCACTCTTCTGTGGCTGCTGCTATGGTGAGACAATTGCTGTGTAGCAGGCAGGGTGACATGAGCAAAAGAGTGCAACTGCTCTCTTGCTACCACCAGAGCCATCAAGGAACTCAGCTAGCAAGACAGGTGCAGCACCTTGGAACCAAGGTCAGGGCTACCAGGCATAAGGTGATCTGTGTGGACCCAGGTAGGTTCTACTGGTGAAAGCTTTGGGAGATTATTCTCCCAAAGTGATGTGTTACAGCTCTTATATGAGAGAAGCTCTCAGACAACCCCTGATAGAGTAATTCTTGTATGCTTTTATTCCTTCTGGATAAGATCTTATATACTTGTTTGGGTGGGTTGGTGTTCTGATAGCAGATGCTTACTATTGGCTTGGTCTGACATGTTAAGGATGCCTCATCTGCATGTGGAAGGGCTAGGGACACTTCCCCTACAAGACTGTTTGTCACAATTTTCTCCATGGGGTACTGTGGTCCTGTGACAGGGGCCTGGTTGAAAGGAGGTGAAGCTGATACCATGCTCTGGTATGTATGAGGTTATGGGACTTCAAACTAACTCAAACTTACCAAGTATCATGGCAAGTTCCACTGCCCAACTCTGCCTTTTCTTACTACAAAGAAGAGATAACATCAAAACAACTGGCTCCCATGTCAATCTGTACTATGTTCGAATTCTTATCTCTTCCCATGCTCTCTTTCCCATCAGGACACCTGCAGAGACACCCTTAAGAAACAAAAGATATCCTAGTAAAAACTTCTCTGTGTACTTAGAAATTAGTAATGAAAAAGTTCTTTACTAAAAATGCTCTCTCTCTCTCTCTCTCTCTCTCTCTCTCTCTCACACACACACACACACAAACACACAGAGAGAGAGAGACAGACAGAGAGAGAGACAGAGAGAGAGACAGAGAGACACAGAGAGAAAGAGGCTAAAACACATACAGTTTACTTGTGTGTTTTATTACAATGTAGAATTACACATTTTACATAGGCTTTATCCTTACATGTTTTCAGACATGACATAAGATTTACCTTTAGCAATTTAAAAGGACATGAGACCTGAAAAATGGGTACTTGTGCATATAAGATATTTACACAAAAAAGATGTTAGCAGAATTACTTATTTATTAAATTTTTAAGTTCTTTATTTCCTATTTTTCATTGAAAATTCGCTTCTTCCTGCAATAAATTCTAAATCCTGATTTCCCTTCTCCAACACCTCCTCAATCTTCTCCCAGCTTGATTCTGATTCTTTATCTTATTTAGAAAACTAAAAGAAGACAAATGTAATAAAAAAGAAAGCAAAGTTAGGTAAAGGAAGAACAGCAAATGGAAATAGGACAAAACAAACGAACAGAAGAAAAGTGACCAAAAACAAAGCACAAGAAACACATGTGAATGTAGAGACAAACATTTACAAATACTCTATAGAAAAACTTCTATAGAAGCTGAGCAATGGACTAAGACAGTCAATGCTGTATCAGTGCAGGTCCATTTTCTATAAAGCCTAGTGACTGTAGTGATGATTACTGAGACTTGGAAGGAATATCGAGCAAACACTTATGTATAATCTTAGAACCTAAAAACTTAACAGGTACATATATTATGTTTGTAAATGAGTTTCAAGAATAGTGATTTAATAATTTTTTGACCAACCTACAGGAATTATATTTACATGCCTGTGCATTCTGACATAAATATTTCTCACATTCCAAGAGACTGGAATTTCTGCTGGAACACACAGCAAGAGATAGCAATACATTTGAGGTCACTAATAACTTTAGACTATGAAGGAGTGTTTGTTTGCCCAGATGTTGCTGATTTGGTTTTTATAGGTCAAATTCATATTATATATTATTTCCAACCATTTCAACAAAAGTTGTGATCTCTCAGGATCCAGTAATATTTTTATTATGCATCACCATACTTTACCATTTTTATTATTTTATTGAATAAGAAACATGTCAATGGAGGTGGCAAATGGTGAAGAGAGTAGCAATTTGTTGTGACCTGTAGATTTATCCTAAATCGACATCATTTTATTCATAGAAGTCCTTTTTAAAAAATGACAAAGGTACTCTAAGATTGTGAGGAAGAGGCCAAAAATGGATATCCAAAATTACTATTTATGAGCAAGTCTAAAGGTTAGTCTTTCTGTCATCTCAGCTGCAGGGTATTTTCCTGCTCCTCTATGGTTTTTGACACACTCAGGATGTGGTTACAGCACTGTGTGTCTTGCACAGTAATAGACCGCAGAGTCCTCAGATGTCAGGCTGGTGAGCTGTAAGTAGGCTGTGTTGGAAGATGTGTCTGCAGTCATGGTGGCCTTGCCCTTGAACTTCTCATTGTAGTAAATACTACTACTTCCAGGAAGAATATATCCAATCCATTCCAGACCCTGTCCAGACCTGTCCTTTACCCAGCTCATATAGTAGCTGGTGAAGGTGTAGCCAGAAGCCTTGCAGGACATCTTCGCTGAGGCCCCAGGCTTCACTAGTTCAGCTGCAGACTGCTGCAGTTGGATCTGAGAGTAGACACCTGTAGAAGAAAAGACAGAGTGAATGTAATCGTCATCTCAGGACCTGTCTCCTCTTCAGATTTGGAAATGGTGAGCCCCTTACCTGCAGTTACTGACAGGAGAAAGAGAACGATCCAGCTCCATTCCATGGTTAGAGTCAGTATGTTCAGGGACTGTGGAGAGGACACTGATATGTTGTTTTTAGGGTGTGGACGTTCCTGTATTTAGTGTCATACATTCAAGTAATTTGCATATTCATGAGCAGGGTACTTCTTACATAAGAACCTAGTTCAGCTGGAGAACTACTGAAGGGGAAGGACAGAAAAGGCACATGGGTCAGGCAGCAGGATGCTCAACTCCAACTTTTAATCCTCTCAGAGGAAATGAATGCCATACACTTTTCCTGAGTCGTGTGCTCATATATGGAACATCGGAAAATAACCACTCAGCAGATTTATGGTCTGTGACTGTTGCTCGTCTTTGAGTGAATGTCATCAGATTGATTTACAGATGGTGGTTGTGAGGATGATGATGATGATGATGATGATGTCCATAATGATGATATGTGTGATGGAAAATTCCAAAAACAGTTAGTTTTTGAGAATTTAGAGCCTTCTTTCCTTTATATGTAATTAATACTTGCTTTTCAACAGTTTATATACTCAAAATTTCATGCAAATGCCCAAAAGTAAATATATTTCTGAAATACTTAGATCAATAATTATTGCACCACTCTCACCATTACCTAAATCACAGGAATAAACTATACTTGTGTCAACAAAGGATTTTATAACTAAAGCATCTGTGAAGTGTTTAACAAAGAATATTTACTGTGTTTGACCACAAAGACATCACATTACAATCACAGCAGGGTTGTCCAGTTAATATACTCAAGAAAAGAAACCACAGAGGATACAGAATCCCCTCCACACACATCTCATCTCTGTGGGGATTGTTAGCTTCATTACGCCCCCTGCTGGTCATGAGCTCCCATGCATGTTGGTTTGTCATGGCTCTCACTAAAGCTGCAAAATCTGGCTTAAGAAAAACCTTATCCCTGTAACTCCAGTGTTCACAGAGCTCAGCTTAAGGGATACAATGGCTCTAGTTTATCTAGGGATAATGATTTATGCATCAGAGATTTTAAGTTGTGCCACTATTACTATAATATCCCTCTCGAAGCCAGGTTCCTCCTTGGTTCAGTTGGAACCATCTCTTGCAGTTCCCGTTCCTAAAAATGTAATAACAGGAGAAAATAGTCTCTTTCCTGTTTTCTTCATGCTACCCCTGGGGCAGAGCTGCTTTGTTTAGAGGGTAAAACCTGCATTATTTAATAGACAAATTAAAGAGACTTCCATACTAACTTTACATAGGAGTGAAACTATTGATATAATAACTAACATGTTGAAACAGCTCAGGACCTGGCTGATGCTTAGAAGCTGACACATTTTTGAATATAGTGCTGAAATGGGCCTGTATTAATGAGAAAGGATAATTACTGAAAACTCTGCTTGGAGATAATGAAAAGAACCAACCAGATGAAAGGTCTGAATCTTAGAGCTCTGCAATGATCATTACTCCATATTTGCAGGACCAGAAATACAGATACTTTACCTCCAACACGGATTTCAGCTCTGAGATTATGTTGGGAAGATTCCTGAATTAAATCGAGTCCTGCATAGAAGTCAGGCTGCTCTTCCACTGCCTCAGTACCACAGCCACTGATAACTGCCTGCATAAGATGCAGGGTGGTGAGAATTAAAAAGAGGGATCCTTTCTCTTGAACCTCAAGGAGGATAGGCACCTCATCATGTATTTTGATAACATGCCTAGAAGTGACGCTTGAGTTCTGGATTATTGTTCTAGAACACATGACACAAGCATTATGAATGGCAAGCTTTTAATGATACAGTATCTGCTACAACAGTACTCACATAAGAAATTCTCTAAAATATTTAATTAGAAAACTTAAAAACAAACAAAAAAATGCTACCTTAGTGTCACTGCTTGTTGAGTGTTCTCTGTTTACTGTTGATCACTAAGTGATGGGACCTGGGAATTCAGGACTGTGTGCCTCTGTCAGAGTTACAGGATCAAGGCTGGACTGATTTTGATGAGGAAATTGATTAATTGCATGTCCTTCTCATGTATGGTGAGCCCTGTGTTTGAAGCCTTAGAGATTTGAATGCCTAGAGCAAATGAAAGAAAAAATACTGAGAAAATGAGAAAGAATTAAGTCACTATCTGTCCTTTAATGTGAAATTGGGCTTCTTTTTTGTTTGTCAATTTTTGTTATTGTTTCATTTCCCCTTTAATTAACAACAAATTATTTTATCATATGATATATTTTATTTATTATATCTGTCCTCCCTCCACTCCTTCCTATGCCTTGCCACCTCTTCTCCTGTCTGGATCCACTTACAACCGGTTTCTCAAAAGACATCTAAGAGGTATAAATAAATCTTAGCAAAATAGAATATAGTTAGCTAAAACAAAAGCCATTAAACTGAACTAGATGGGCTCTGATTCCTGTGCCTTCTCTTAGGACTCTTTCCCTTTTGTTGATTAAACTTGTCCAAGTTCAAACACTCAGCAGTCCAATAAAACTACTAAAATGGAAAGTATAATATATATACAAGGGATCAATACCAGATCAATGGTAGGCATGTGCATGCAAATTTAATTTTTGTGAGCTCATAGGACCATGGCTCAGTTGAGTTAAAGGCCTTCAAATCCTGGGTCTGCAATCACTTATGACTCTTATATTCTTTCTGCTTTGTCTTGACTAGTTCAAGGATTCCTCGAACTCTGAAGGATGGGATTTGATTTGAGTCAACCCATTTAGAACTGTGTGTTCCTGTTCTTTCAGGTAATGTCTAGCTGTTTGTCTCTGTTTCTGTTTACATTTGATGCAAGAAGGTTTTCTGCTGAAGCCTGAATCAGTTAGCTAAACACAATAATAAAAGGAGATGAAGAAAATGATAACTGGAATGGGATAAAACAGACAGAAGTAAAAGCACCAACCTCGACTCCTCACACACACCAGAAACACAGTGCCAGGGTCTTTTCTGGGATGAGGTACCTTCCCCAGCATGGAGAGGATAGAAGAAGGGTCTGTGCTCACAGAGTGGGCAGCACAGGAGATAAGGAATCAGTGAGGAGAAGGAAGCAGTCAGGCATGATATTTCGGGAATCTCACAGCTGAATTGCTAGCTATCAGGTCACTTCTGCAGCTCTGACTACCAATCAGTCCAATTCTGCTGCCCTGACTTACTAGCAATCAGCTTCTTTATTTACACAAGTTTCACAGAACAAAGACAGGCTAATCATTGTCCATGTGGAACAGAATATATGTTTGATTTATCATTACTTGTTCAGGATTACAAGTTCAGTCACAAAAAGAAAATAAATACAGAACAACTCATTCTTGTTTTTATTATCCCTAAAACTCTAAACATCACCTCAAAATCCAACCCATTTAATATATGACAGCCCACTTTTCAGCTGGGAAATTTTGTTGTTTGAAAGTCCTCTGCACAACCAAAACATAGCCAAACCAGTCTTTTTATGAATAGAAAATACTGATACCTAATTTCTTCTACTACATGTTTCACCATCTTCTCTATAATGTAGGAAAACTTTCTTTTAATCAAACTATGTTATTAATGAGGTCTATTTTTCCAAAGCTGTACCCTCTATGAACCCCTAATTTTAAAGTACATTTTCAGAGATTTCTCAGCATTTAACAAAAAGAGACTTTGAATATATAACCTCTTCTACTGGCCAGTGTTAGTTCTGCAACTTTTGGTTTTGGTTTTTTTTTTTTTTTTTCGCCAAGTCCTTTTTGTATATGCTTGAGATATTTAGGTATTTGTGGACTGCATAAGGGTATCCTGGGTCATGGTTGAGCAGGTACCTAGAACCCGGAGATTCTCCGTGGAATTCTGCATGAGAACCTGCAGGAGTTCGGTCCCTCCCATCATCTAGGATCCTGAAAAACAGTCACATCTCCATAGAGTCACATAGGCCAGGCTATAGGCCTCAGGCCCTAGGGATTTACATACTAATGAAGGCCAGAGGTCAGAGCAAATTAAACATGCCTCCCCCAGATCTTCCCCCAATCCTCCCCCTTTCTCTCTCCCTATATAACTCGGGACTGTCCTGAGTTTTGGGGGGATACGCCTAGATCCATCTATTATCCGCCATGACAATAAAACTTTTTGGAACCAAGGACTTCCTCGTGTTACTGGGGCCTGCCGCCGCCAAGGCCTCCGGGCCACTGGAACCATAAGATCTTCTTCCCTAATGTGGGACCCGCCATGGCAGAAGCCCCTCCGGGGCTTACGCTGCTGTGGCTGCCTTTTTAAATTTTCCCCACAGGTATTGAGGGAGATCTATCCCCAGCTTCAAGTAAAACAACCACACTGATCCTCACAGTGGATTCACAAAGTGGGGGAGCTTTGCTGAACGAATTATCTGAGAATACCAAAATTACATTTATGAAGTTGATTTGCATGATATATAACATATAATTGACCAATGAAATTCCTGCCTGATATAATGTATTCAGCATATGAGATTTCATCCCTATTAAGCATATGATATTCATATTTAAGGGGAAATGTTTCCTACAGGAACAACCAAAATTAATGTTCTGAATATAGAGAACTATTACTACATCAAACCCTGAGATTACCATGTTCCATTAGTATCTATGGGCTGGTTGATAATCACCCATTTAGCCAAAAGCAAACGCTCTACAGAACAAGAGTCACCTGCAGGTACCCAGTGCGAGACTGTGAGACATGATACTGAGTCAGCATGCAAATACGGGGACAAAAGGAAGTATGGAATGAAAGTTTTATGTATCATCTGAGAACCTGCTTCAGTTAACATGTACATACATTGAGTTGATTACTGAGTTCTCTGAAGAGTTGTCCAACTTACAGGAATTATACTTATATGACTGTGCATTCTGATATACATACATTACATTCTAAGAGACTAGGATTTCTGAACAACACAGCCAGAGTTTACAGCACACATTCAGGTCACTTAGGACTATGAGACAAGTTTTTATCTGATCAGATGTTATTTATGTACTTTGTAAATGTAGAATTCATATTCTACTTCATTCCAAACAACTCCGTTCAAAGTTTCAGTCTCTTGGAATCCAGAAATATTTTATCACTATGAATTATCATGCTATCTGTTTAATATTGTTTTATTAAGGAACAAAAAGGCCAACGAAATTGATCACTAGTGAAGAGACAGTCAAGATACAGTGTACCACAATAAACAGAAAAGCATTGCTTTATTCACAGATATAATGTTCAAAATTTGACAAATACCATATAATACTGTGGGAATGAGGCAGAAAAAGGGGCACTCAGAATGATTAATTGCAAGTAACTCTTCAGAATAATCTTATGCATCTTTAGTGTTCTAGGGGAATGTCATACTCCTTCGGGCTTTCTGACATACTCGGGACATGGTTTCAACACTGTGTCTTGCACAGTAATAGACTGCAGAATCCTCACATGTCAGGCTGCTGAGCTCTATGTAAGCTGTGCTGGAGGATTTGTCTGCAGTCAACATGGCCTTTCCTATGAACTTTTCATTGTACTTAGTTTCATCATTGTAAGGATAAATCCATCCAGTCCATTCCAGGCACTGTCCAGGCCTCTGCTTCACCCAGTTTATAACATAGTCAGTGAAGGTGTAGCCAAAAGCCTTGCAGGACAACTTCACTGAAGCCCCAGGCCTCATCAGCTCAGCTCCAAACTGCTGAGGCTGAACCTGGGAGTGGACACCTGTGGAGAGAAAGGCAGACTGGATGTCATAGTCCCTTCAAACTCTGTCTCCTTTTCAGATTGGGAAATGGTGAGCAGGTTACCCTGCAGTTACTGACAGGAGGTAGATTAAGACCCACCTCAATTTCATGGTTAGATTTCATGTGTACATAGACTGTGAAGAGGACACTGATCATAGGTTGTTCTCAGTGTGTGGACATCCTTATATTTACTGCCATAGATTCAATTAATTTACATATTCATGAGCATAGTATTTCTTAAATAAAGACCTACTCCAGCTGCAGAATAAGTGGACAGGAAAAAGTGAGAAGATATAATAGTTAGGCAGCAGGATACTCAGGTATTCAAGTCTTAATACTTACTTTGTGAGGCAATGCATCTCGTAAAATTTCCCTGAGCCATGAGCAAATGCTGTGCATTTAATGTCAGTTAATAAGCTCTCAGCAGGTTTCTGGCTTGTAACTATTGCTCCTCTTTTGGACAATATCATCAGATACCTTTTATGGTGGTTGTGATGATGATGAAATAATGGATAATTCCTTAAATGGTTAATTTTTGAGATTTTAGAGCCTTCTTTCAGAGATATGCAACAATATTTGCCTTTACAACAGGTTATATACTGAAAATCTCAATCAAATGACCAAAATGTTTACATATGAATGATTATTGCAGCACTATCGTCAATAACTAAATTATGGATGTAAGCTGTAAATCTGTAAATGTGTCAACAAGGGATTCTATCACCAAGTTTTATATATATATATATATATATATATATATATATATGCACAGAAGTTTTTAACAAGAAAGTAATAAGAAATTTATGTTGTTTTGGAAACATGGATGCAATTAGAGATAACTGTATTTTTTAAGACAATCTCAAAATCACATACTTTAAAATGAGACTGTTATTAGTGGCTCTTATCATTTCATAGATACATACAGCTATTTAAGCCAATACATGATGATGTCTCACTGAAATTGTCTAGTAGAATAAAGGGAAAATAGGGAGACAAGAGGTTACAGGAGAAATAAGCACAGTGTAAAAAATTCAGCTGTATGAAAATACTATACATATATGTAAATTATTCATTTCTAAATTTCATACAGATTTTGTTCTTTGAAATTTTCCATAATGTATGAAATATGCTATAATCAAACAGTGGTCTCAGGACTCTCACCACTGTCTACGACCACTAGGTTCCTGTGGTTCCCTTAGAGACCTTCCAAAGTGTCTCTTCCCAACACTCTGATGGCTATTGTTTCATTAACTAATAACACAGTGAGTTTAATCTTCCCATTAGACCAGCCACACAGAGGATACTAGAAGCAAAACTCCAACAGAAACAGAATAACTAAACCCAACAAAACAAAAGTAATTAATCATCTCACAGCAAACCTAAAAGAAGAGAATCACAGGGACAAAACACCACCTCTAAAAACAAAATTAATAGGAATAAACAGTCTTTGATCCTTAGTATCACTCAACATTCATGGATTCAATTCCCCTATAAAAAGGTACAGGCTAAAAGACTTAATAAGTAAACAGAAACCATCATTTATTTGTGTACAGAAAACACACCTCAGAAACAAATTCCAAGTAGATCAAGGACCTCAGCATAAAAGCAGATAAACTCAGCCTAGAAGAAGAGAAACTGGGTTATAGACTTGAACATTTGAAACAGAATAAAATTTCTTGAACAGAATACCAATGCCTCTGCTACTATGATCAATAATTAATAAACGGGACCTCAGGAAACTTAAATGATTAGTAAGGCAAAGGATACTGTCAATAAGTCAGAACAGCGACCTACAGATTGGGAAAAATCTTAATTAAGCCTACATCTGATAGAGGGCTAAGGTCCAAAATATATAAAGAACTCCAAAAGTTAAACTCAAAAAAAAAAAAAAGCAAAGCAAAAAAAAAAAAAACCAGAAAAACAAACAAAATAATCTAAAAATGGGATTCAGTTAAACAGAATTATTAACGGAAGAATTTTAAATGACTGAGAAGCACTTAAAAAAAATGTACAACATGCTGTCATCAGAGAAATTCACATCAATGTGACCCTGAGATTACACCTGGCACCAATTAGAATGGAAAAGATCAAAAACACAACCACTCTGGAAATCAACCTTCTTCCTCAGAAAATTGGAAATAGGTCTACCTGAAGACCCAGCTATACCACTTCTGGACATATACACAAGAGATGCTCCACCATACCTCAAGGACCCATGCTCCACTCTGTTCTTAGGAGCCTTATTCATAATAGCCAGAAACTAGAAATAACTCAGATGTTCCTTAATGAAAGAAGAGAGACTGAAAATGTAGTTCATTTTCAAAACTAAACACTATTCAGCTACTAAAAATGAGAACATCAAGAATTTTGCATACAAAAGGATGCAACATGAGAATATCATCCTAAATTACATAACTCAGACCCAGAAAGAACTGTATGGTATTACTCTCTTATAAGAGGATATTACTCATAAAGTACAGGATATCCAGGCTATCATCCACAGACCAAAGGAAACTGGATAATAAGAGTCCAAGGGAGGACATATGAATCTCACTCAGAAAGGGAACCAAAATAGTAATCAGAGGGGGATGGAGAGAGAAAACTGAATGTAAGGGGTGGTGAGGAAGGGTATATGGGAATTAGGAAATGTACAAAAAAAAGGAATGAAAAGTTTTTAAACATTACTTTCTGATAATATTATCCTCAATCTGAACTACTGGCAGCCTGCTAGCCTGGAGAGGGTAGTGGCAGGGGCACAGAGTAGGACTCAACTGACCAAGGACACATCCCAGGAGGAGCACATTCCTTAGCCAGAAGACATTTGCCAGATTAACATTCAGAGGAGGAAGGGAAAAGTAAATTAACATTCCTCAGACCAAAGTAGATTAACATTCCTCAGTTCCAAAGGAGGGTGAGAAATGTCCAGAGCACATAGACACATTGCAAAGAAGGGACCAATCCTTCGAACTAACAGACAAGGGAGGTCCTTGCTACCACATTCCCCAAAGAACAATCAGTTTAAAAGTCACACTGTTCCACCAGTTATATCGTGCCTAGTCACTGTCCACCCCTTAAACTGTATAAAAACTGCTCATAGCTCCAACTCAGGGTTCTCTTCTTACGTGCATGCAAAAGAACCCCAGTGAACTGGTTATTATTATTGTTGTTGTTGTTATTATTATTATCATTAAACCTCATGTTTTGCAGTGAATCCTCTTTCCCTGTGTGTTTCTGGGGGAGCACATCCCCTGGTTTGGATCTGAGAGTCCAACAATGGCTTTAAAGTCCAAGGGTCTCAAGGCTTTCTGGCTGTCTGACCAGTAGTGAAGTGCTAGTGATAACTTCTAAAAAGTCCTAAAAACTTCTGAGGGTAAAAGACTGCAGACTTAGGTGATTAGCACCTGTAGCCTAACAGCATAGGATTAGGCAATGTGTCCTTTGTTCTATTACAGCAGGAACTGGTGGGCTCTAACTTATGTCTGGTAGTCTGAAATGGCAGGAAGAAAATTATTATACGCACTTAGCAAAATTATTATAGAGTTTATTACTAAATTGTAAAAAGTTTCCTATGAAAGCTATCTAAGGGGAAAAGTGGAAAGGTCCTAAGTGGGGAAAAGGAAAAAATTCTAACAAAGGAAAAAGTTTTAGTGAAAAAATTCTAGGCAGAGAAAAAAGAAAGGAAGGTATGAATGGCTAACTATGACTACTATATCTCCAACTACCCTACTATTCTCTTTGTCTTTGTCTTCAGTACTTATGCATCTCTCAGAGTACATGGTAACATATTACAAAGTTCATCACAAGTTCACACCAAAAATCAAATCATAAATTGAAATAGAATTTTACAACAGAGAATGTTTACATGCATATCCATTAGGAGTAATTATCTGACTAAACATCTATCACCTGTCCAGTGCTACAGGTTCACTGAAGGCTTAAAACTATAAGAAATTAGTGAAGTGTTGTATAGATAATCTAAGGCAATATTTTCTCTTCTGTCCTACCACCTATAATAAATGAAGAGTTCCCTTTAAGTGAGCTTTGGTTAATTGTTTTACAACCTTATTGGAATGTGGTCTGACTAGGAGAAAGTCTGGTTACTATCTAAGGACAATTAACTAATGATACTCTGGAGACTGGCAAACTTCTCATTGCAGGTTTAACTATCAGAAAGAATTGTAATACCAGACCCACTATAAAAAGAGCTAAATAATCATTGATACAATTTTAGGAATTCTTATAAGATCATCATTAAGACTTAAGAAATCATCTATTTGTCTATATAGCAACACTACAAGACAGTACATCTTCGTGGGTCTGCAGAGATCTGCTCCAAAGGGGTGTGCTATTGCTTAGTGATTGTTACATAAGTTTAATAAATAATAATAATAATAATAATAGGAAAATTATATTAATAGTAGGAATCTTTCTCTAAGGAAATCCCTCACAGACTTGCTGGATGAGGGCAAATTTCTATAGAATAGCAAAAACCCAGGATAGCAAAAACTGTTCTCAACACAGAAGAACTTCTGAGGGAATCACCATCCCTGATCTCTGTACTACAGAACAATGGTGATAAAAACTTCACAGTATTGGTCCAGAGATAAGCAAGAAACTCAATGAAATTGAATTGAAGAACCAGAAATGAAGCTACCTACCTATGGTTACTTGATCTTTGATGACGAAGTTAAAACCATTAACTGGATAATGACAGCATTTTCAACAAATGGTGCTGGCTCAACTGGAGGTCAGCATGTAGAAGAATGCAAATCGATCCATTCTTATCTCCTTGTACAAAGCTCAAGTCCAAGTGGATTAAGGACATTTGCATAAAACAAAATACACTGAAACTATAGAAGAGAAAGTAGGGAAAAGCCTCGAATCCTTGGGCACAGGGGAAAAGTTCCTGAACAGACCACCAATGGCATATGCTCTAAGATCAAGAATTGACAAATGGGAACTCATAAAACTGCAAAGTTT